TAGAGGGGGTTTATATCCTCTCATCTGCTTTATAAATACTTAATTCAGCACTTTTCTGCAGAGCCATAAGATGACTTTCGATTCAGGGTAGCCTCATGCATTCATAAATGTTGAAATGCTCACATGGGCAATGGCACAACTTTGTTCGCATCCTCATGAGCCTTCCATGTTTCTTCCCGGATGTCTGAAAGTGGTATGCAAAGGATGACAGCATGAGTGCAAGGAGAATCCCAGGATGGAAATAATAATCTAAGTTCGTCCTGGTACTAAAAAAAATTACATGCCGTGACAGTTTCAACAATGAATTCAAGGCAGAGTGAACAGGTAGAAAAGGAGAAAAGAGGAGCCACTGACAAGGAGTTCCTCCTAACATTTAGCATGTGCCTTCTTCAAAAGAGAGACTCTTTCGGAAACAGTGAAGGTTCTATGAGGCCTCCAGTGGGTTGAATCAGGTGTGCATATTGAATGAGTGGAACACTGCCTTGTCTTGCACGCACCTGTTCATGCACACACACAGCACACATGTATTCACTGAGGCTCATTAACTATGTGTGACCTCGACCCTGGGTGTCTTATAGTCATGAGAAGAACCCTGCTGGTTCAGAACAAAGATCCTTCTAGTCCAGAAGAGGTCAACTAGATGTCTATGGGGAAGCCCATGAGCAGAACACAGGGAGTGTAGGCATCTTCCATGGTTATTCCCCTGTAATTTGTATTTGGAGGCATCCTGTCACTGATTCTGAATGTAGTAGAGTCATTATGACTAGTAAACACTGATATTGACACATTCATGGAGCATAAGGCTAAGTCCCATTGAAAGCCATCTACGTCAGTGGCCACCATCACCACATCTTTTGGTACTGAATTACTTTATGCTTGTGAAACATGGACCACTTATAAATGCCATCTCCAACTCGTCGAAAGAGTCCATCAACGGTGTCTCCGAAAAATGTTACACATCACCTGGGAAGACAGGCAAACTAATACCAGTGTACTGGAAGGAAGCAAAGATCACCAGTGTTGAAGCAATGATTCTTCAACATCAATTTTGTTCGACTGGTCATGTTGTGCAGATGCCTGATTATCGCCTAGCAAAGCAACTACTCTATTCTGAACTTAAAAATGGTAAGTGTAATGCCAGTGGTCAACAAAAGAGGTTTAAAGACTCTCTCAAGGCAAATCTTTAAAAATGTAGTATAAACACCGACAACTGGGAAACACTGGCCTGCGAGCGCTCCAGTTGGAGAACAGCCTTTACCAAAGGTGTCATGAGTTTTGAAGATGAACTCAGGACAAAAGGGAGAAACACACTAAGAGGAAGGCACACTCGGCAAACCCTCACCGTGATCAAGTTCCACTCAGAAACCTATGTCTCCACTGTGGAAGGACATGTGGACCCAGAATTGGCCTCCACAGCCACTTATGAACTCACTGTTAAAACTATGTTTATGGAAGACAATCTTACTCGGCTAGGAGTGATTGCCAAAGAACACGACACAAAATAACCATGCACTGTTTGAAAACATGCTTTTGTCTGTGAGAGGGATACTGGCTCTTCTGGGGGCTTCTCTTGTACTCTGGAGCCAGCCCTAAAGGAAGTTGCTTCTCCCACTATTGTCCTCCTAAGAAGGGGAGTCTGACCCCATGGAACTTCAGTTATGTACACATCACTGTTTACTTTGGATTCATTGTGCTTTCACTGCTGCTTTTTTACTCTGTGTACATGTAACTTTAGCCACAATCCAAAGGCATTCTGTGGTTTCTTGTGAAATGCTGCCCTTTGATGCAATTTCCACTGAGCCAACTTTAATCCAACTTGAGAACTGTAGCCTTGCTCAATTTGTATTGAAGCCCAGGTACACTTGAGCTGACCTTTCCTTGATGTGTGTCTGTGTGTGCCCTGCATGTCCTACTTGCTCATCTCCCATGCCCAACAAGCCCAAAACTTCCCTTCCCTTCCTCCCGCTGCATGCCTCCCTGCATCCCCAAAATTGGCTCCGGGAACCTCAGGAGAACCCATGGAACAGCACAGAAGAGAGGGGTCCTTCCATCTGGCAAGCTGATATGTTTGAGTAGATGGAATGTTCATTGTAGTGAGACATTGAATTCCACCCAGTGCTTTTTGCTAAATGCTCCTAGAATTATGATAAAATGCTTCTGCTACTGCTACATAGAAGTACAGGGGCAGCGTGTCCCATTTTGTTGAGTTGAAGCAGGAACGTGCTGCCCCCTCACCTTGCTGTGCCTCTCTTACCTGTGTTGCAAGGTAGCACCTGTGAGGCACTGGTTTCCTGTGAGATCTCATGCAATTTTGTCATGGTCTGGTTCACGGGTGATTGAAGTCCCGGCTGGGGGCGTCGGGACTGGGGGCAAGATGGCGGGGTGGGAGCAGGAACGGGAGTCCAGAACCCAGGAGGCAGGAAGCCAAGAGTCCGAGGATCAGGAAGCAAGGAGTCAAGGAGCCAAATGCAGCAAGGCAGCAAATGTGTTGCTGTGGCAAAGAGCCAAAGGGAAATGTTGACCTTATATCCCTTCCCAGCTCTTGCCACCAGGTGCTGTGAATTACCAATCGGCCTCACCTGTGCGGCCACACCTTGCCTCTTCAGAACAAACTTAGGAAGGCCCCAGTCCTGCAGAGTCCTATTGGTCACAGGGCCTGGCTCCTGCACACACTCCTAACAAATTTTGCCAAAATCTCTAAGATTTTGTGTGCTGTGCTAGATTTCACCAGAAACTGTCACTACTTTTGCTTCTCTGCTAACAGCGGAGGGGGGAAGTGCTGCCTTTGGGGTTTCTGCCTCTCAAGGCGGGCGCCTCACCAGGCCTGACTAACAACAGCAACTCCTGCTCCTCAACACACCAGCATGCCATAGACTTATGTGGCCAGTACTTAGCAGGAGTTCACTGAAAAGTCTTGCGTGAAACAGTTTTGTTAACCTTAAGGTAGAAGTTCAGAAATAATTTGGAGGGCTTGTTGTGAACTAAGTTTTTCCTGCTCTCACACTGCCACCCAGTGGGTTCCTGTTAAAATGGCACACCTTGCTCTTCTCTAGTTGGTGACCCCCCTCAGGGTCAATTAACTTACGCAAGTGTTATAACAAGAGCAAATAAAAGTGAACACAATATATTTCCCTTCTTAAAAATCTCAGTCTCCAGAGTTATGGGCAGGATGATGCTTTAAAAATGGAAATCAAATCTTGTCCGCACAGCTGTTTCAAACAATGACATACCCTCCAACATTTCTCTGATTAAAATAGGGACGTCCTATTCCATAATAATAAATTTACTATTTATACCCTGCCCATCTGATTGGGTTGCCCCAGCTGCTCTGGGCAGCTTACAACATATATGAAAATGTAAAAAGCCAGTAAACATTTTTTAAAAAAACTTCCCTATACAGGATTGCCTTCAGAGGGCTTGGGGGTTGGGTAACTCTGTACCCTCCAACATTTCTCTGATGAAAATAGGGACGTGGGTGGCGCTGTGGGTTAAACCACAGAACCTAGGGCTTACCTAGGTCAGAGTTTCGAATCCCTGCGAAGCTCCTGTTGCTCGGTCCCTGCTCCTGCCAACCTAGCAGTTCGAAAGCACATCAAAGTGCAAGTAGATAAATAGGTACCGCTCCAGCGGGAAGGTAAATGGTGTTTCTGTGTGCTGCTCTGGTTCACCAGAAAGTGGCTTAGTCATGCTGGCCCCATGACCCGGAAGCTGTACGCCGGCTCCCTCAGCCAATAAAGCAAGATGAGCGCCGCAACCCCAGAGTCGGCCACGACTGGACCTAATGGTCAGGGGTCCCTTTACCTTTACCTTTAAGGAAAAGCGGGATATTCTGGGGTCAAATGAGAAGCTAGGATGGCTTCTGTAAATCTGGGACTGTCCCTGGAAAATAGGGACACTTGGAGGGTCTGCAATGATGTATAAACCATGTAAACAGAGTTTGAGCTCTTAAGTGTTCCTCCATGCTCAGAAGAGCCATGTGTAACAAAGGGGGCGATGCAAACCCAAAAGCTGATGGCAAGAGCAAAGTCCCTCATCCCAGCTCAACCTGCTGTCCATCATGACTCGGCTAAAACTGTCTGATTCACGGACAGGGTAAGTCCTGAAAAAGGGGCATTGTGGGATTGGGATTCGGCAGAGTGAGATTTACCCCTTATTCTACACAAACTCCATTCAGCTTGGTCACATGACCTTGATAAGGAAAATTCTGGGTTGAGAGACTACTCAACAGCCCAGCTCATCGGGGTACAAGTCCCTCGCGGGTCTATGCAGTCAGTAAAAGAAGGAAATTTCAGCCAAGTAATTTGGAACAAAACAGCAGTCAGTAGACTTGGATCCTTTATTGTTGCGCAACAGGTTCCAACAGCAGTAAGAACCCTGAGCATGGGGCGACATTCACTTTTAAAACTTTACCGCCATATCCCAGAATACAGTTCATACAGCATCGATACATCTTTGCTACATCACTGACATGTCACAAAAGGGGAGGGGTGGACAGGGGTTGGACATGGGTGGCGCTGTGGTCTAAACCACAGAGCCTGGGGCTTGCCGATCAGAAGGTCAGCTGTTTGAATCCCCATGACGGGGTGAGCTCCCATTGCTCGGTCCCTGCGCCTGCCCACCTAGCAGTTTGAAAGCATGCCCAAAAGTGCAAGTAGATAAATAGGTACCGCTCTGGCGGGAAGGTAAATGGTGTTTCCGTGTGCTACTCTGGTTTGCCAGAAGTGGCTTAGTCATGCTGGCCACATGACCCGGAAAAACTGTCTGTGGACAAACACTGGCTCCCTTGGCCAATAAAGCGAGATGAGCACCACAACCCCAGAGTCGTCTGCGACTGGACCTAATTGTCAGGGGTCCCTTTTCCCTTTTTAGACAGGAGCTACCCTAGTTCAATCTTGGCAATCATGTCCAGACAGAACTTGGTACAAGATTAGCATGAGCAGATATGTCGGGGCAAGACCCAGGTATAAGATTAGCATTGGCCAGTGGTGGCCAAACTTGGCCCTCCAGCTGTTTTGGGACTACAACTCCCTTCATCTCTAGCTAACAGGACCAGTGGTCAGGGATGGTGGGAATTGTAGTCCCAAAACAGCTGGAGGGCCAAGTTTGGCCATGCCTGGCATAGGCAATCACCTCGAGTCCCACCACCCAAAGTACAATAGAACTTCCTTTGCATGTATGGACACCTAGGCAAGTCTGGTGATGGGATTAGGCTTTCCTTGGCCAACAATCAGCTCAGCAATTGTCACCTCTGGGCACTTCCTGGTGTGTATACATCTCCTAACGCTTGGGGAGGTGGCAGGGGAAAAGAGTCCTTTTCCCCAGGGCAAAACAGCGTTGCAATGGAGGAAACTAGCAAAGGAGTTGATTTTATATGATTTATAAAGGTAGGTATCTTCCCTGAGCTGTCAAGTCGAAAGGATACATTCAGCTATAATATTTGTAACATTTAACAACTTTAAAGAAGGGTCCCCCACCCTGTAATTTCTGTAACAACCTAGAACCCTAGAAGAAGATATCCTGGAAAAAAGGGTGGATTAAATCAAACACTTTTTAAAGTGTTTTCGCTCTGCCTGGTCAACCAGCAATAGACCTGCTCTTGAATGGGGTAAATTGCGTTAGTATAATTTATCCCAGTATAAACTATGCTGGCTTCTTAGACTTTGGATTAGCTATCCAACTAATATGAGGCATACAGCTTTCTTAGGCTAAACGAGATGAATACAGAGAATAAAATTATAGCCAATAGGCCATGAAACCCAGTGAAATCAATCTGTCACTGTAATGGGCTTTAGGTGCGAGCTTAAGACTTGGTTATTTCAGCAAGCTATATTGTTCTTATAAGTTTCTTGTTCTGTCACCTATTTTGTACTTCTGTTCCTTTTCTGTACTTTGCTCAGATTTTATTTGCTATGCAGTTTGGATTGCAGGTGAGATTTTGTACGCCACATAGATATATTTTTATATGAGTTTGCAATATAGAAGTGCACAATAGAATAAAAAACAAAGTCTGAGATTCAATATTATTCAGTCTTAATCTTGGCACCCCTTTCCAATGCTGCAGCACAGCACAGTTTGCTTCACAAGGAGGACAGCACATTTGCTTCACAAGGAGGAAATACTCAAAGTAGAGTACAGTGATACCTCGGTTCTCAAACACTTTGGTTCTCAAACATCAAAAACCCAGAAGTAAGTGTTCGGGTTTTCGAACATTTTTCGGAAGCCAAACATCCAATGTGGATGTCGGCTATTGTTTCCGGGGCACCTGCACCAATCATAAGTTGCGCCTTGGTTTTCAAACATTTTGGAAGTCAAAAGGACTTCCGGAACGAATTACGTTTGGTGCTTTTGTTTCTGCGGCTTTTTCGGTTAATTTGTTTTTGTGACTGTGTGGAACCCAGTTCACCTACTGACTGATTGATTGTGTGACTGCGGAAATGAATAAAAGCAATGACTATCATTAGTACAGGTAAGATTTTTTTTTTTTAATCATCTACAGTAATGTCTTATTTATTTTATAGTGCAGTACAATGATCGCTTTCATTTTATGGATCAATGTCCTCGTTAGATAGTAAAATTCATGTTACATTGCTGTTTTAGGGGTTGTTTTTAAAAGTCTGGAACGGATGAATCTGTATTGCATTACTTTCTATGGGAAAGCGCGCCTTGCATTTGAAATGCTTTGGTTTTGGAACGGACTTCCAGAATGGATTCAGGTTTTTTTGAAAAAATCCCTAAGCCCCGGGGTCACAATTTCAGCAAAAATCTGGCGTTCTCCAATTCATTCAAAAATGGTGCCAAACAGCTGCAAATGCTCCCCTGAAAAGTTTGGCGGTCGAAACAGAAGGCTTTTTATCAAAGGAAAAGAAATCAGCCCTCGACAACTTAAACGGCAGAAAAAGATTTTTTTGAAAAAATCCCTAAGCCCCGGGGTCACAATTTCATAAAAAAATCTGACGTACGGCAATTCACTCAAAAATGGTGCCAAACGGTTGCAAATGCTCCCCTGAGAGGTTTGGCGGTCGAAACAGAAGACTTTTCATCACAGGAAAAGAAATCCGCTCTCGGCAACTTAACCGGCAGAAAAAGATTTTTTTGAAAAAATCCCTTATGCCCCGGGTCAACAATTTCATCAAAAATCTGACTTTCGGCAATTCACTTAAAAATGGTGCCAAACGGTTGCAAATGCTCCCCTGAGAGGTTTGGCAGTCGAAACAGAAGGCTTTTTATCACCGGAAAAGAAATCAGCCCTCGACAACTGAACCGGCAGAAAAAGATTTTTTTGAAAAAATCCCTAAGGCCCGGGGTCACAATTTCATGAAAAAACTGACTTCCGGCAATTCACTCAAAAATGGTGCCAAACGGTTGCAAATGCTCCGCTGAGAGGTTTGCCGGACGAAACAGAAGGCTTTTTATCACAGGAAAAGAAATCAGCCCTCGACAACTTAACCGGCTGAAAAAGATTTTTTAGAAAAAATCCCTAAGCTTCGGGGTCACAATTTCATCAAAAATCTGACTTTTGGCAATTCACTCAAAAATGGTGCCAAACGGTTGCAAATGCTCCCCTGAGAGGTTTGGCGGTCGAAACAGAAGGCTATTTATCACCGGAAAAGAAATCAGCCCTCGACAACTTAACCAGCAGACCAAGATTTTTTTGATACTATCCCTCAGCCGCGGGGTCACCATCTCATCAAAAATCTGACTTTTTGCAATTCACTCAAAAATGGTGACAAACGGTTGCAAATGCTCCCCTGAGAGGTTTGGCAGTCAAAACAGAAGGCTTTTATCGACAGGACAAGAAATCCGCCCTCGACAACTTAAACGGCAGAAAAATATTTTTTTGAAAAAATTCCTAAGCCCCAGGGTCACAATTACATCAAAAATCTGACTTTCGGCAATTCACTCAAAAATGGTGCCAAACGGTTGCAAATGCTCCCCTGAGAGGTTTGGCGGACGAAAAAGAAGGCTTTTTTTATCACAGGAAAAGAAATCTGGCTCTC